GCCCAGAGTCACCTTGTGTGAGATGGGTGGCTATATAAAAATGAATGAATGAATGAATGAATGAATGAGGTCATCTGACACAGGAAGAACGGTAAATGATCTCTCCTGTTTCCTGGTTGTGCTGGTGATGTACGTGAAGAGATGGTCTCTATACTTACAGTGAGATTGCAGTAGAGAGGCTAGTTCCACATGCAGTCACTTCAGTGTGAACTGGAACCTTGATAGTGAACAATACCAGCTTACATAGAGGCATCCACATGTGTGTGAAAACACCCCATTGCAGAGGATTGCTCCATAATGGTGGACACCAGCTCTTCAGTTATATCACCAGTTTGTCTAAGATGAGGAGGAACTTCTCCCTGCTTCTTGCATGTTAGATTTAAGACATGAAAGCAAGAAGAAAGCAAAAGATGAATTCTGTAACAAAATAATACGTTTTGGAGGGCTACGAATATTCATGTGCTGCAGAGTGGGGAAAAAAAACCAATCCAGCGGCTTAAAGCCTGCTATATTACTTTTAGATACTCCATGGTGTTTCTAAGGCTTGTAGTATAACTGCGGTAGTATTTTTCTAGATAAGGGGTTTACCTTGTGAAGGATAACCCTGAAGGGTGGCTCTCTTGCCCTATTTTGCAAACCCTAAAGATCGGGAAAACTAATTTGGAAGGATGATCAGAGGATGGTTTGCAAGCGAAGTGCAGCTTACAATGAAGAACACCAGCAGGATTCTTAGAAGTTGCCACTTATCAGTCAAGCAGCCAACTGAGCTGGGAAGTGATTCACCTGCTTAGTTTTTTTGCCCACTATGGTGAAATGGATTGCAGTTTTATTTATAGCCACTATTTTTAAACATTCCTCTGTGTGTATATACTTACAATTTGAGATTATTTTTACACCCTCATCGTTGTCCTCCCCTTCCTGCCTTTCTTGCATTTCCTCTTTTTTTCTTGTTGAGCAACACATGCAAATAACAATGAAAGGTGTCAAGCAGAAAGAAATAAACCTATCATCAGAGATCTGCCTCCAACCTCTTCTCTCTGGGTTATGATTACTACATGTTCTTTTGAGTAGGCGCAACAGACGAGGTCTTCTTGGATCAGCCTATCGTCCTGCTTCTTTTTCATATAATGACTGGGCCCATGTGGAAGAGAATACACTCCCTTCTGCTGCTGTTCTTAATGATTTCCATTGATTGGTTTGGTTGATGGTGGTTCTTTACATCTGTGATGTTTAGTACTATGTTTATTCTCCCTGTGTTGGGGTGGGTGGATGTGAGATTAAGCAGCTAACACCCCACCCATAGAAGCATGGTACTTTTTATCATTATTTCCTAGCATTCTTTCACCTGTGTTGATGTGTGAATTATATTTATGGTTTTGCCAAGAAAGTGTAACATTTTGTACATCTGAGGGACTAGGTTCCAGATCATAAAAGCTTCTATCTCTGCTGGCTGTTAAGATGACCTGAAACACTTCACTGTGTTTTATGCAAGATGCTTAATAAAAGAGGAAGTCATTTCCTTGGGATGATTACAGAAGTGCGGGATGACAATGTAGGATTGAAATATTCAAGTGATGCTTGTTTAAAAGAAGGAAGCTAAATGTAATTTGAAGTCAGCAGCAAGCTGGGGTTGAGAGTTTGGGTTACAGCTTAGGCAAGTCACTTATTCCTTTCCCTGCTTCTTTTGTTTTACTTGCAAATGAGTGACTCAGCATACAGAATACTTAAGTTTAAGAAATATTACTTATGCAAAATAGTCTTAGTCTCTCTCTCTCTCCCCACATGTATTTATGCAGGCTGAACATAAGTAACCTTTGATACATGCACAGGCACGGATACGTGGAGTTTTCTGCGAGTGATCATAACATCAGTAGATGTTGGTAACAAGATCCTGTACTTTTGGATGCCCACAAATCAGTGGAGAAATTGCTGGAAGACTACCAAGTTGATTCCTAGTTACTCTAGGAGGGGTTCTTTGAACAAGATGATGCTTCTGGGTTGTCTTCAACAGTAGCCCCAAGTAGGACACACTGTGTGGTGCTCCAGAGCACAACCAACAGGCTTTTCCTGGCTCAAGTAGCTGTGTCCGTGGTGGCATCGATTTCTGTGGTGGGTGGTCTGCTGGACCACTTTGGAGAAGCATCTGAAAGGTTCAGTTCTGCCAACTACCAAAGATCATGATAGCTGGAAGCTACACACCTGAAGGGCAGAGATTTGTGGAAGGCTGATGCAGAGAAAAATGATAGGCCTACTTAAGAAACTTAGCTTTCACTCTTTTAATCAGGCGTAAAGAATCTCTGTGTTGGGGATTGAGTTGCATAGATGCCTGCAATGCAAAAAAAAGCGGAGGGGATGATGCAAATATTTTGCCTGGCATACTGTTAGATCCTTTTATTGGGTAGGCTTTTCATCAGTCAGAATCAGCCAAAAATAAGCCTTTCTTTCCTTTGGCTTCTGTTTCCTGTAAGCAGCTGCTCTTGTGAGATTTTGCAACCTTCTAACTTTATTGTTGAGAATATTTTCTGCTTTACCCAAGAGGTGGTGCAGAACAGGGGACACAGGATGGCATGCATTGGCCCTGTTAGACTGTTGCTACTCCGAGCAGCCACAGGGAATTTTGCCATCTGCGGTGATACAGAAGCAGATATACAGCTCTGTATAGTGGGCTGCTGGCTGAGTCAAGAGTAAAATCACTCAGTAGAGATTGAGTTGAGGTGCAGCATGAATGTGGACTTCCCTAGTCCAGGGTCAATACCTACCTTGCAGTGCTGTGTCACATCTCGTGTTTTGCAATAGAGAAAGAATGTAGTGTTGTCTCTTACAGGAGGAACAGAAGTGTGTTGAAAGTCTTGAACTGGAGCAATATGAGAGATGCCAAGATTTGCGAGCACTCTTGAAAAGGAAAAACCGATTCATTTTAATCCATTCTCCAGGTTGTAAGGTAAGATATCCTTCCTGTTCTACATGAAACTGTAATTCTTCCCTCCCTCCCTTCCACCCCCCTCTGTATTTATTCTTTCCAACCCAGTGGGATGTTGACAATTACATAAAGGGGCATGTACATCGACAGAATAACTCTCTGAAAACATAACAGAATGGGACCAAATCTGGTGTTGACAGAGATGTCAGCAAAAGAAAGTCTGAGTCTGAGAGACTTGGAGCTGTGGAGAAAAACATTCCAGAAAAACAATTCACCAGTGTATCCCTATGGGATGCTATTTTCCTAAGCACTTCTCCTTCATCCCTCTTGGTCCCTTGACCCAGAGCGAAGGGTACATAAACCTGCCTTTTGCTTCTTACATGCACACGGAGATCCAACACAAAGGGAAAGTTTGGTTGCACAGAAGAAAATACAGATGCCTCCTCTGGCCACAGCTGGTTCAGGAAAGAATTCCAGAATCCACGTGCTCTGCATGGTTTTCATATGTGGTTTCCTTTCCTGAAGGTGTTGGTCAGTTGCCCTGTTGGCTAAGTCCCTTTTGGTTGAAGGAATGAAGGCTATGGCTTTTAGACATGGCCACAGAATATTTTGTGGGACAACTTAACGCTCTCTGTGGTGGAGCTCTGTGGAGTAACAGGCTCAGTTTGTGACACAATTACACTTGGATAGTATATAGCATTTCCTCTGCAGGAAGAATTGTAACTTGAAGGCATAGAATGGCTTGAATTCCATTGACCTTTGAAGGAATACCTACAGGATACACCAGGGTGCTGTGGCCCCATTTGTTGCATGGTTGGCCAAAGCCTTCGTCCCCCAGCCATATGGGGAAAAAAATCAGTGCAAACCTGGAGCAGTCTGGTGCTCCCTCAAAGCAACTGGAAATATGTTGTTCCTAATTTTGCAGGACCAAAATGATCCTGCTAGAGTACGGAGCAGAGGGCATGCCTGGAACAGCATCAGCCCACCCTGGCTAGATGTAGAAGGAATAGGGAATGGCTTTGAAGGGCAGGAGGAAGAACCACTATGAAGGCAGTGATCAGACAAGTACGGCGTGAGCCCATTCCAAGAAACTAATTTGAGTAAAATCTCAGACTCTTCCCTAAAATGAGGGAGGGGGATGCACATACAGACTTGCAGGATTTTGTTGCTATAGCTGTTCTGAGAAAAGTAGTTTTAGACCAATATGGCATTGGTCTACCTTACATGGCTGACACCGGGCCCACAACATGGGATTGAGCAGCTTATGGTCAAGGGCTATGGAGGGTCCATCTGGATCATCCCTTTAAGCCATAGTGTGGTTTCTTTCTTTGACTATTGCAGAAACTGTTGGATGAACCTAGATTTAGACTTTGAATGGCCAGCACTATCCAATTTTCAGAGAGGAGACCTTTTGAAACCCTAGCTGGAGATGCAAGCAGTTGAGTTTGGGATTTTTTTGCGTGCAGCTGTATGCTGTAGCACTGCACATCCAGCTGTGAATAAAGCTGCAGGTACACGGAATGGGTGGGTTTGAGTTCCATATTTACTAGGGACGCTGCTCCAGTTGTAACTGGCTCTGAGCAGCTTACAGACTTGGGCAGGATGAAAGCTCAGGGCTTTCTTTTCTACACGCGTAGCCAGTTTGACATTTAAAAGAAAGGGAGTTTTGTTTAACGAGATGGATCCCTTATTGCGAGCTCATGGGATTTACATCTGGGACTATTTGCTTCCTAAACCAGACACACTCTTCCTCAGCAAGCCAATTCAGCTTCTCTGTTCAGAAAGTTTTCATTTTCCACCCTTATCTCTCTCTCTCTGTTTCTCTCTCTTTTTTTGCTATGTTGCACGCCCCTCCCCCCCCCCCCACCCCCACTCCTGACA